CCCGTCCCTATCTGGCATCGCGTTTTATCCTTACCTCATCAAAACAATTTCCACATTCTCCTCCAGTATTTGTTTTAATTTTTTTTTTTTTCCTTTTTCTTTTCAACTCTCATCCTCACGAGCATGTGAACAAATTAGTGACTCTGAAACCAGTGTCAGCATGTACCTTCGTGTGTGGGTGTATCGGGTACATTCAATAACTAACTCGATTCATCGTGCGTGGGCCAACGTTCGCGTGATCATTTTGCATCGGTTTATTCCTTTTCTAATTTCTTTTTATTTGTCCACGTGTTCTCCATTCTTTCTCCCTCCCTCCCCACCCCCCTCCCTACCCCTCTCCCCATTTCAAATACACGATTAGAAAATTAATGGGAAATATTCACCGGCTATTTTCGAAGAAATTCATTACTGTTATCAGTTGATTGATAATGTGATCAATGCAATCAATAAAAAAAACTCTAAAATTATTGAAATCTCATAAAATCAAATGAATAATTTCAATAATTTCAATAATTTCAATAATTTCAATAATTTCAATAATTTCAATAATTTCAATAATTTCAATAATTTCAATAATTTCATTGAATTTATTTTCTGAAATCGCGTAAAATCGACAAATCGGCAAATCGGTGTTATTGAATTTCTGAGTGAACAGCCCCACGATTATTTCACCGAAATTTCTTTCTGTTCGTGTATCAATGGATTTTTTTTCAACGACCATTTGTTGTGGTGGGTGGTTCTTTTTATTTATTTATTTATTTATTTTTTCGAGTGTGGGAGTCACGGGGTGGGCCACCTGTCCAAGCTTGGTATGCACCGATAGCATCAAAGAAGAGGAACCAAACGGGTAACGAACGCTCAGCCGCTGAGCAAAGACAAGGGCGGTAACTCACACCAGACAAATTATAGACCGGTCCTCTGGCACCTCACACATTTAAATATCGTGTGCGTGTCCCGATGGTACCTTTTTCAGACTTGAGAAAAAATATTCTCAGACCGGTCAACATGCAATGGACGCAATGCCACGTTAAGAAATTCTTCTTTATTTTTCATTTATATTTTTTCACTATCACCAACGTAAATCATCCCTTGAAAAATTACGCCTGAATTGGGAAGGGGGAATTCGTAGCCCCTGGGGCCGCGGTGAAATGCTCAACGCGAATTAACCCCCAATCAGGATTTTTTTTTTTACCAATAGTTATAGTATAGTTTACAATTATCAATTTATCAGGATAAAAAGTTATGACGTTTGTTTATGCTGGGGGTTGAGAAGTTAGATTAGATATCGCGGTAGGTAGAAACGTAGGAAACATAGCCGTTCCCCACTGGCCACATTCGCAGAACTCTAGCCGAGTTCTCGGTAAGAGAGACCAGAAGTTATACATACGATAATCAGGGAAGAGAGTAGAGACAAATGAGCCCCAGGTACCCACACACGACTGCGTTTAATCAAACATTTTTTTTTCATAGCCTGATAGAAAGGGGAAAATTTTGCCACCCCCATCAGTAAACTACACTCGATCATGCCATCTCCAGATCGATACCATCACCTGCCATCTTTCCATTTCAATTCATCATCATAAATAATTATTAATAATCATTAATAATCGATTTAAAATGAATAATTATTGGATCAGATGGCCAGACCTACAGACTTGAAATAATTTTGAAAAATAATTTCAACTTCTGGCCGATTGATTTCAAAGTATTGCAGTACAATACGTAAAAACGTCGAAAGGACATGCAGCAAAATGATTGAATTCCCGAGTACGAAATGCTGCAAAACTGGATAATGGAAACACCTACAACAAACGCGTGACCGAGGCCCCATCCCCTGTTATTCCCCCAGTGGAACGTCTATATGGAAGCCGTCTGCGGGACATGGATGCTAACACCGCGCCGATATCGGGTTACTAACGTCATCGGTTCCGGCGTACAAACTAACACACGAGAATATATCCCAGTCTGCCATTGGGGGGGAGAAGCACCCAAAAAGCCACAGTCTGCAACCACCAGCTACATCCCTTCAGCCCTCACCATAAGAGAAAGAAATAACAACCTTTACAACTGATATAAACATTAATTATCCCTCAAAAATGAGAATTAAAACAATACCGATAAAAAGAGATGATAAAAAATTTTGAGGAAAACCTATTGCACCTATTCCACCTATTCCACCTATTCCACCTATTGCATAAATTAATATAATTCCCAAAATAATTAAACTTTTACCGGAAAGATAAAACCTATTAACTGGAATTACTCACATATTTACAACAGTTGGGTCAACGATTTATTAAACTGGTGGTAAAATCATGGTGAATGCATCTAGAAATCCAGTCACCAACTGAGAAATAACCGATGGAATTCATGGATAAGATAAATTCCCATTGAAAGAACAGAAAGTCCGAGATCACAACGGTGAGATATAATTTTCAACGCGTTGGATATTGGGCATTATTACCAAGATTATAGACAGCGCATTGTTACCCATCAAGTGGAAATTTGAGGTGACAATATCTCGAGTGGATTAATTCCCGTGTATATTGAATGATACGTTATTATTCCCTTGTGACAAGGGTGAATTTTTTCCTCCCTTCCCCCCCCTCTCTATCTCTTTTTTCCCCTTCCCTTTTTTGGATACGAGCGATACCCCCTGGTGAGGGGATAAATTTGTGGTGAAGAAAACTCGGAAGTCACTTACCACTCTTCTCAATTTCCAGCTCTGCTCTTTGTTGTGTGGGAATCCAGAGGGGAGTGCAGAGATGATCTCATTACCACTGGAGATGCCATATCGACTCCCTGAGGACAAAAAAAATTCACCACCGGTTACAAAAAAATGTACCCTCTGCTAAAAAAAATTTTTATCAATAATTTCAATTCAATAACCACAAGATTCAGTTTAAAATTCATCAAATCATGGATCACTGGCATAAAAATAAAAATTCCCATCAATTAATAATATATAATAACCACCAAATATCTCATATAATCATCAGATAAATACGGGAATTTGACAAAATTAATTTTTGTTTAAATTCCCTAATTTTTCAATTCCGTGTTTTCACTTCGTGTTTTATTAAAGAACAACTGGCTAGAGTCAATATTGATCCAGTGAAATAATCAAAATCAATTGTAGGAACGAATAAACGATGAATACCAAACAGAAATTATTCCCTTTGATTTTCCCTTTGATTTTTCCGAAAAACCCTCAACAATTAAAAACCCATAAAACCCCCTTGACACCCCCTTGAAACCTCACCACCCCCCAGCGCCATTATCCCACCCCATCAATCAGTCAATCACTCAAATTTCCATTCAATTAAGAATATAAAATAATCACCAAATATCTCCTATAATCATCAGAAAAATACGGGAATTTGTCAAAATTAATTTTAGTTTAAATTCCCCAATTTTTGAATTCCGTGTTTTCATTTCATCTTTTATGTTTGCAACTTGCAAGATGCTGTGAATCTCATTGAAATTGAGAGATGGTTATACAAATGGCAGTCGCATACGGGGCGAGAGGGAATAAAAATAATAATAAAAATAAAAAAAATGGCTCGAGTATATTCGCATTGGTCCGTGGTTTCCATGGATGCCTGACGAGGTAGAGGGATCGATCTCGTCGAGTCTTCCGAGCATGCTCCAACACCCGTCACGATTCCCATGCTTTTGTTACCCCGCATTATTTTGTTTTATCATCCATTTTAAATTAACCTGACTGTCACATTGCCACCATTTCGATCCGAAATTATTCGTGAATACCCCGATGCCCCGATCTCTCCGATAGTGAAAAAAGAGAACAACTACCGAGATGTTTAGATCCCTGAGAAAATTCTGCAGACTTCAGGTGCGATTTAATCCGAATTTTCAATAAAAATTTAATAAATACTATTGATTTGAGTCTGAGCTTTTTTCAAATGTCTTTTTTATTTTAAAATAATAGAAAAGTCTCCGAAATCTGAAGCTCCACACGTCAATTTCTACGCCCCAGACGTGGAATCATTTCCAATTTCTGAAAGCGAAGAGAAATTCCCCGTTGAAGACCTCCGAGAAATTGCAGAAGGTCTCAGAGGCAGTGACCATCACACCAGGAAAACCGAAATCACCGCCCCCAGGACTGTCCCTCCTGCCGAATGCGCCAGGTTCTCAACAATCAAAAATTCCGCGAAGTCGTGTATTTTACTCAACCTGTTCCGACAAACCACCAAAGCCCCCAAAGAAATCCGATTGCACGCCAAAGCCGAAGAAGTCGTCGTGCAGTGAAAAATCCTACGAGAAATTATGCCCTGACTTGAAGGATCCGGCCTCGTGCAGTACAAATAAACCCAAGTGCCCTGAGAAATGTCCAAAGCCCCCAAGTAACACATCAGCCTGTTCAAAACCAAAACCCAAGCCAAAACCGTGTGCACAGCCTGTGGAAAAATCAAAGTGCTCAAAGCCACCGCTAAAATCCTGTCCACAGCCCCCAAAACCCTGCCCCAAACCCGAAGAGAAATCAAAATGCTCAAAACCCCCACCAAAACCCTGTCCCCAACCGGAGCCAAAATCAAAATGCTCAAAGCCTCCAGCAAAGCCCTCAGGATGTGGAGGAGGCAAGAAACCCCCGCCCTGCTCAAGATCATACTCATCATGTGCAGCTGAACCCGACAAAACCCCCGATCTAACATTTGGTGAACAACAGCGACGGAAAATCGCAGAATTCTGCGCAAAGAGAAAAGGAAACAGTAAAAAAGGGATTGAGATAAAAGATGAAGAGCATTGCGAACAGAGCGAGAGCTTTAGTGACAGAATCAAAAGAGAGAAGGAGGAGACAGCAGAGTGCCTGAAGAACAAAACGGAATTCTCGGAGTTGGGGTACACCAGGATTCACTGCAAGGAGAGCGTCAGGGACATCATATCGAGGGATGCCAAGAAATTCCTGAGGGAAGTTGATCCTTACGGTGAAATTCTTCACCAAAAAGTTGGCAAGGTGTCCTCAGATCAGCCGGAAAAGGCCAGAAACAGAAAGAACAATTGGCTAGAGTCGATATTGATCCAGTGAAATAATCAAAATCAATTGTAGTAACGAATAAACGATGAATACCAAACAGAAAGTATTCCCTTTGATTTTCCCTTTGATTTTTCTGAAAAACCCTCAACAATTAAAAACCCATAAAACCCCCTTGAAACCCCCTTGAAACTCCACCACCCCCCACCATCATTCCACCCCATCAATCACTCAATAAATCAGTAAAATCCCCGAAATAGAGACGTATCACTCCAATAATTCCCGCCCCGTCCATTTACAAGCCGTCAACATTTCAGTTAAGTTTCACGTGAGAGATACCATTGAATTTCCCTTCCATCCTCTATTTTTTTTTATTCCATCCACATCGTGACAATGATGAGGGGGCAATGCGCGGTTCCAACGTACAGCCCAGTTCAACCCTGGATAACCATTGAATAGATTGAAAAAGTTGTGGGGTCAGGACGCAATTACGCGGCCATTCAGGCACACCATGAGGTCCTTCATGGGTATTACAACCCGAGGGGCCACTCGTGTACCTGGCGCCTATGTTTCGTTTGAGGTACCCATAGAGTAGATGACAAGCATACACTCACTGCATGCCGCCACTTATGGGAACGTGATACGTAGTGCTTTTGCGACCGATGTTCTTTTATGGGTTTTTCTGTATATTCCCTCTACCAATGAAGAATACTCTCACCCATTCTCCCCATTGTTGAGCAATGCCACATCCACGCATCCTCCCTTAGATTTTTTATTATCCAGAACAATGGCAATCCTAGATGCTCCTCTCCTGTCATCATTTGTTCTCCTCTTTTAACCAGAAAATATTCGTGATGATGACTTCGACACGACTCCAGTGAATTTCCCACCGGAAGGCAATTCAAAACCCAGTGACATCACCCAATTAATTGCTTCATGATCTGATGATTGGAATGAGAAATTGCCATCCGGAGGATACGAGGGGAGTCTAGAGATTTAGAGGGGAACTACTGGGGACCACATACCGAGTGCTAACTAGTCTGTTTTTGTCTATCTGTTATACGACTAGTTTTCGGAAGCCGTTTGAGACTTTTTCTGGTGAAAGACAACTCAGCGGGGGATTGCCTCATCCCTGTCGCGCCCTTCACCTAATCCAACCGTGAAATACATCAATTATCGATTACTGACTTGACCAATCAGAGCTACCTCCAGGAGAAGTCGTCGTCGACATTGAAAATTCAAATAAAATTTAATGCACGTCGAATTCAACCAAATAATCTTCGACGAATGGAGAAGTCATTAAAATTTCATTAGCTTCACAGAAATATCGTCGCTCTGAGAGGTCAAAAGCGGCATCGGTTAAAGAGACTAGCCAAGGAACTCAGACACGTGGAAACCGAGTGACACCCAGAGCCGTCCCCATGCGGTTCGTCCCGTGTCAATCAAAAATGCTAAAACAAACGAGCAGTCTGTTCCCGAAAAAGGGAGAGAAGGCCTCCTCGAAAAATCTGCCTGGCAGGCATTATTTCCAATAGGAATAACACAACCGACGGCTATTTTCCTAATGCCTGACTTCTGTTGGCGTCTGTAAAAACAATTGACGAAAATCTCAAGTGTCCTTTTTCCATTTATCCCATCAATCCCACAATCCCCAAAACATTATCCCACCAGAGTTTCAAAAATATTGACTCCACCGTCAAAAGACCAATTGAACCTCCAACAATAAATCACCGTCAACCTGATTCAGAACAATCTCCTCGTAATCACCATCATGCTCACTTCATGCAGGATTAACTTCCGTTTAATCACAATGATTTTTTTCATCGATGGGCCCGATCAAGAGGCCCTGATAAAGAAAAATAATATAATCGAGGGCGGGTTCTATACAGAAAGGGATGGAAAAATCATCGTTTATTGGAACGATAGTGTCCAACCAATGGAATAACACAAGCCTCACGATGTATCACGCCCATCAACCAATGGTATACATCACTCTGGTTGCCTGAACAAGGGGTAACGCCCTGACCAATAGGCGAGCACAGGCATTGAATCGAGGAGACCCTGGATTCTGTGGAACCGAGGAGACCAGTCGTCTCGGATGCGTGTGCTGGTGAACATCGTGACAGAGAGTGCGGATAAACGCGAATAAAAATCAACCAAGATCCGTTGATCGTGATCGATACTGATTTGAGTGATGAATCCTCAACATGTTAGTGTTTCAATTATCAGTGATATCTGAATGATGAGTGTGATGTTATTGCTGGTGGAGACTGGCTCGGATAGCCACGACTGCTAATAATAGCTGAGTTGCAGAAGGGAAAAAAAAATAAAGAGAAAGAGCCGAGGGGAATTGATATAAATACCAAATTCCACTGAGAAGAAATACCGGTAGAATATTTTTTTATTAATCCCAACGACGAGTGAAACAAAAAGTGTTTGGAAAGGGGGGGGGTGGTGGGAGGGGGGTCCCCCTCTGGATTTTATAATCCGATGAGAGGAACGCGTAATGGAAGACAATTAAGAAGTGAAAAGGATAAGTTGAATGCTGGGTTAACCGAGAAAAAAAGGATTAGTGGATAATTGAACAAGTGAGGGGATATAAAGTAATTCGAGAGTTATCCCCGGTTCAAACGTAAAAATCCACTTTCAAAGCCAGTGAGGAATAGGCTAAAAATAATTATCAGCAAACGAGACGAGTCTTGGCGAGTCAGCATTTACCGATATTTTTCAAGTGTTGATCGTTTTTTTTTTCTTTCAAAAATCATCTGCTCTACTATAATGTCAACGTTAGGATTAATCTGTGACAATTACTGACACGTGAAGAAGTTTATCCCAGTGTTGATGTGAAAATTCGGATTATTTAATCAAAAAATCGTTTGAATTTCAAATTGAATTGCAACGATGACTTGCTGAGAGCTAATTCATCCGCCACCATTGGATTGATAAAATTGTACATCCAGAATAATAGAATAATAGCGATTGATAATTCGTGATAGTCAAAAAAGGTGTGAGTGATAAACGTGTTGTTAACAGTGGAGGGTGGAGGTAACGGTGTACCAGGGGTCCCAGTAGGCCCCGATGAGGTGATGATGGGCTATAGTGCCACCGGAGCCAGTGGTGCTATGGGTCCATCAACGGGTGCTGATGTGCTTGGCTCAACAGGAGATTACAGCCCCCAAGGTACACCAAATTCCCTAGGTGGTCACAATGCGGGTCCAGTTGATGCTACCGGCCCATACACAACAAGTACAACTGGTCCCACAACCTACAGCCCCCAAGACAGCCCCGCAAGTTCAGCTGGTGGTGGCAATACCAATGGACAATTACCGAGCTTTGGATTCACCCAGGAGCAAGTGGCATGCGTCTGCGAGGTGAGTAATCACAAAAAAAACTCTTCATCTTAACTCAATGATCCGTGTTTGACTCGGTTGTTATAATTATCTCCCAAATTCAATTGAAATTGGGAGCCAATTGAACCACCAAAAATCGATGATTAATCACTAGTCAAATATCCCCAAGGGAATTTCCCACACAAACTCTAAATGAAAGATAAAACCGAACGACGTGCCTGATGAATCAGGCTGCTACGAACGTACGTCGTTCAGCTCCTTGCTTGCATCACATTGGACTTGTCAAAATCATTGTAACGATTTATAATCGATCCGTTATGATTTATTAATGTTGTAATCCGTGTGATGCGAGCGCTAGTTGTCTTGTATGACACATGTACTCAGAGATTTTAAATTCAAATCTGTCATACATTCGTTGAAATATGATCTAGAGCTCTTTAAAGACCATCAACAATGATGTGTACGTCTTTGGATTTGACATCTTCCTCAGAATGATACTGATGATGATTATGGGCATAGTGTCTTCCAAGAGATCGAGATTGTATATACAAGATAAACTAGATTAATAAGGAGAATCCGGGATGAGTTCTGCCGACTAACAGTGTGCCCCCCCTGTCTATCGTCTTCAAGGCGATGGTGTCGTCTGTCCAGGTACTCCAGCAGGCTGGTTCTGTTGAGCGTCTCGGTAGATTTCTGTGGTCATTACCCCAGTGTGCTCGACTCCAACGTCACGAGAGTGTCCTAAAGGCTAAAGCAATCGTTGCATTCCACCGTTGCAACTTCAAACAACTCTACCAGATCCTAGAGAGCAATACATTCAGTCCACACAATCACCCTAAACTCCAGGCACTCTGGCTCAAGGCCCACTACATCGAGGCAGAGAGACTACGTGGTAGAGCACTAGGTGCCGTCGGTTAGTAATCAAATAATTCCACCAATAATTCAATTAATCCATTCCCTTTCCAGCATCCATGATTACGTATACCCTGGATTTACAGGTAAATACCGAGTGAGACGTAAATTTCCACTGCCCCGAACAATTTGGGACGGTGAGGAGACATCCTACTGCTTCAAAGAGAAATCAAGGAGTGTCCTGAGAGAGTGGTACACATCAAATCCTTATCCGTCGCCCAGAGAGAAACGAGAGCTTGCCGAGAGCACAGGCCTCACAACAACCCAAGTCAGCAATTGGTTCAAGAACAGAAGACAGCGTGATAGAGCTGCTGAGCAGAGGTGAGTTACTTTGTCATTTTCACATGCTCCAATCGGCCACCCAGTGAATACTGCATGTGGTGCACATCAGTGAATTCAACCCGTTCCCTCAACAGATCATCAACCGGAAGATCATGTCGAATAGCTTGCGCGTATTCCATCATCGGTTTGAGACCAATCGGCATTTAAATAACGAGAGCGTGAACTCCCGCTGATCCGTGTGTTGTCCCGAAGGTCGTTGCCCCACATCCGATTTTAGAATAACTCCGAAAGCATGCGCGCTAGTATACACCAGACGTGTACAATCCAACACAACGTGACCAATGTCTCCCACGAAGTGCATCGGTCTCATGTAGACTAGCCACGACAGAGTAGAAATAAAACGAGAGAAAATTTAAAACAAAAAAAATAAAAAAACCCAATGAAAACATGATATTGGAGTCCTCTTCGGTTGATTCAAGGAAGCTTCAACATATGTGCGAACTTGTTGTCATTGATACTTTCGTGGAGTTGCATTTCCGGGATGATCATTCATCGCAAACGGACGGAAAACACCAGAGTCGAGATGAATATACAAGGCACCGTGGCCGTTGGCAAAAAGATATCGTCAGCCATTGAGATAGGAAGTGGGAAGCACCACCGTACCCTGAAACGCCACAGGGAATCGTATCGAATTTCTCAAACCATGGCTTCTGTGTATTCCCATGAATAAGTTGAATCTGTATGGCTTTCCCTCTAGCTCAATGTATCATCAATTCGTGATGATTCTGGTCTGTCCATCATCGTGTTAACAAATCATCAACCCTAACAACCATTTTACCTCTAGCTGCATCAAGAAAACAAGTAGATTGACTACGACAACTTCAACTTGAGCGAATTCATGAATTCCAATAGACAGAAAATCTCTTCGACTTTGAAAAAAAATTGGAAGAAAAAAAAAACAAATGTCATTAGCTAACGCGATACCGTGTAATATCCGAGATAAACGATCGTCGAATGCCGACAGGGGGGCGGCTGTAGCCAAGTGCTCCCATGGGGAGAATCCTGGGGGCGTATGTTACAATCCGTAGGCGTTTTGTCGTACAATATAAAACACATCGTTCCAACACCTCTTTCATACAGACAAAACAATGTGAAAGACGCCGAGAGAAAAAAAAAAGGGGGACTAGTGAGAATGAATTCCAGTGCTCAGCGCTTTCTCGCTGATGTCATGAAGTGGTCAGGGTATCAAAATTCTGAGTATTAGATGGCACAGCAACTCAGTTCTTTGTTTTGGTTTCAATTCTCTTATCGATAGCAGCTTCGCTGATAGGTGAGATTGCAGTGGTGAGGACTTGGTTCTTATCTCTGATGATGTGATCATGAGTCATTCGATTAAACTATTAACTTCAGGATCCAGTGACACCGTGATTGCAAAATGCAGATCACTTCACTGGTAGATTCCAACGAGCCCATGAACTCCATGATTTTTTATATGAACTGATAGCAAAGTTGAAACGTCAGACAAGTCGAACTTAATCCTTATCAATTGCTGAAGAGGCACTTGAATATGAAAGAGTAAAAGCGACAGCAGAAGGGAATGATCCACGAGAAAATCGAGAAGAAAATGTCAAAGGATACCGTAAAAATTCGGAATGTCAACCCTGAAGAGTTTAACGTCAACCCATTCATTATCCACCACTAAATTGAGTGGTGGGGTCATGGAAGATAACCTCAAGTACATTCTCCCCCATTCTCCAGGATGACACGAGTCATCGGGAGCCCCGGGAGCACTTCATCCTCAGTACCGAGAAGTTGAAGAGAGAAAAAGAATAAAAAAATGAGTGGAGACTGAAAGAGGGGAATCTAGAATGGCGAGGGTGAATGTGGCAGTAATGGCTCCACTCTTCGTGTGTCAACAAAACATTTACTTCGATATGGCGTACCAAACCAACCCTAAAAAAAACTATACCACCATATTGCCAGTGTGGGCGTGCACAAACATTGAATGCGTGAGGGAGACCCTTTGTTTTCCTTTTTGTTCGTTCCCTTTGTACACGCAGGGACATCGAGAGCATTTTGATGCCCTCTTTATTTCCCAGAAGGAATTCAAAATGGCGGATATATCCAACCATCTTTTTATAAACCGTCGAGGGTTGAATTGAAGATAGAAATTGGGAGCGCTCCTTTTTTTTCGATTCGAGAGAAAAAATTGTATTGACCCTCTGAGAGGGTGCAATTAAAGTAATGAAAAATTAATTTAAAAAATGGTATGAAAATTCAATTTGAGAAATTATTGGGGTGCATTTTTCCCCCGGATTGATCTCTGAGACTTTGGAATCAAATTTGTAAGAATTTTTTGAAAGAATGTGGACCTCTCGGTGGATGAGAGGGAAAATTTTTCGGTGAATATAAAGGGCATGAAGAGCACTTACGCACTCTCACGATCATCTACCGAGTGTCAATATTGGCGCAGCCATACCCTCGTCGAGGCATCCGGTTTGCCTCACCCCCACGGTTCAACCCCCCAGCAGTCGCCATTTGCTTTTCTGACATGCTATTTTTGGACTTTATTTATTTATTTTCTTTTTTTCACCAAAGTTGTGTCTAATCTCCTGGCAATCCGAGACCGCTGCCATTTTTCGTTGAGTTTAACCGTGAATTTCTAGGAAAATGCCGGGATTATCGCGATTATGTCTCAGTTGTCCTAGCAGATCCAGTTTGATTGTCCTTTTACAGTCTCCCTCAGTTGGATCTCAACACGGAAAAATCCTCGGGCTAATTTTTTTCAGGGCAACTCTATCAGGGAATATTCTGACAGACACCGAGCGAAGAAAAAAAAAGAACAAATCCCAGTGCAGAATTACTTTTTTTCATTGAAAATCGCTGCATGCAGCTACAGAGGGCATTCATTCGAGGAACTACGGGATTACGTTGATTCAATTAAACGGGATATCTCAACACTTCAATCTTCAAACTTTGGAATTTTAGAATGAAAAATGAGCTGAAGTGATTCACATTCACAAAAACGAAATCAAATCGAGAAGTCGAATAATATTTCCGTTATATTCCTCATCATGAATTACCATATTACACACGACGGTATAATAATCCTGAACAATTTCCTAAAATTCCACCAAATGAAAAACGCAACTTGAAAATCCACCGAAATATTCCCCAGATGCGAATACCGAGAAAAGCGAAAATAATTGGACAAATTAATTCCTGTTGCGATTGCGCAATGAGTCTCGGTCTCATGTAATGTCTCATAGAAAACGATTAAGACTGCATTAAGTCGAGGCTGTCTGGCACGTATCTAAACAGTCTGGCGCGTCATACCGCGTTTGAGGTCATGATGAAAGTGAGTAAAAATGACGTACGACATTAATTACCGCGGAAACTAGTGGTACCGAGTTAAATATCCACGTGACCACCCAATTTTCACCTTTACACTATCATCACAGCTAATTAATAGAGATAATATCGAATGGAGCTGTTGAAATTGAATGTGAATTTTTCTCGCCCAGTGGGATATCATTCCCACTGAAATCCACGACTGGCTCCTCAAAGAGTGGCAGATCGTTGATGTATGCTTGCACACTTGGTGTCGAGTTACAAACGTGCTCGGTTGGGCTATATTCCTCTTGCCTTACCCTGGGCTATACCACTGGAGTTTTATGGACATAAATATACGGTGGAATTAGACGGGACGCGTGCGCCAACGATACATGTGTATAATGAGCAAGTGGAAGTCCTTCTCGTTAATGAAATTTAAATAAATAAATTAAATTTTTCTATTTCTCCTCCAATTTCGCCCTCTGAAATTCCCGGAATACCCACTACGATTTTTTATCATTAAATTCATCAATTTGGAGAAGATTCACCTCAGAAGATTGGAGATTTATTGAACTTGTAATTAGTTAATTCGAGAAAAAGAAAATATAGATTGTTTTATTTGAGTAGAGAAATGGTGTTTGACGTTTTCGTTGGCAATTGATTTTTTGTTTTTTTTCAATTTTTGAAATAATTCGTCTATTCCTCCAGTGGCAATAGAAAAACAACATCGTAAATACCTATTATAACTAGATGTGGACCCCACAGCGCCACAGGTTTGCAACTAATCCGGATTAAATGGAATTTCGAAACACCGAAAGCGTTTTAACACGATCGCCTTTAGCATTGCCCTTGTAAACGCACGGTATTTATTTTTGAAGCCATTAAAAAAATATGAGGATTGAAAAAATGTTTAAAAATCGAGACCAACTGTGGGTGCACGATAAAGAAATAATCTAGGAAAGATCACGAAATGAAAAGACAAAAATAAAAACAAGTCATCATGAATCAAATGAGAAATAGGGTAATGGAGTGTTTGTGTGAGAATCGACGAGATTTTTCAGTGAAAAAAAGAATTCTGGGAAGCTGTTGATGAAAAAAAAACCTCCGAAAACGATGGAAAAATATGGAGTTTGCAAACATGACTGAGTTTTCGAATGTGTACACGGTAGAATGACTCTTGGAGCATTATTTTAGGCCCGAGGAAAGATGTTGCATACCTACCTATCTACTTATAGAATCAGCTGCCACCCAGCAGCCCTCACCTGCCACCCAAAAACCCGAGAGAATTTTCCTTTTGTCTGAGCCCTCATCAAGCGAAAAAAAAAAATAATATATATATACTCATTACTCC